ATCGGTGAATAGCGGCGTCGCGTGTGAAAATGGGAAAGGAAAAGAAGGAGGCGGAAGTAGGGGAACACACGCTGGGGCACGTGCAACGTCGTTGGAGCGTCTGTAGCGGTGGCTTTCCGGCATGGCGCTGGATGGTTTGCTCCTCACGGGGTCGATCTCGGCGGCTCGGGGAGAACAAATCCACAGGTCCGCTCCCCTTTTGGGGGAGCATATCGAGAAGCTCTGAGAGAGCCAGGTGACAGGCGCCCCGCTGCGGCGAGACGCCGAAACACACTTCTCCCGAGCGATGGAATGTCTGCCTGTGCTCCTCGCATTCCTCGCGCTACCGCTTCTTTTCCCGACGGGTTTGAAAACCATGTTTCGGATCTTTCCCCCTGCAAAAGCTGTACGCTGACGACCAGGTTCCTCGAGAAATGCTCTGTGCTACCAGATCCTCGCGCTCCAAATCTCCGACCGGGCACTCTATGGCTCCGTCGTCGAACTGCCATGCTTTGTGAGTATAGCCGAGGCTATGCCAAGGCATTAGCGAAACGTGGCCGTCCACACCCGTCCACCGCAGACAAACTAAGAGAGCGGATGAACGACCGTCATGTTTTCGCATTCACAAACTCATAAGCACTCAGTTGTCCTCGGAATTTTTTGCAGTGCATATAACTAAAACTTTCTAAATATTTTCTAGTTCTTCTGTGTGTCAGCCATTGCGCGGAGAGGAAACTAGTGCGTCTTTTGTTGGTAATTAACCTCAAGGATTAATTCTATACGACATTTAGTGAAATTATAAAGATTGATTCAGCGCCCCTTTAACGATTGTTTAAATCATTATCCTTGTTACTTGAATGTTACATGTTTTCATTTGTTAATAATTGAACGCTAAAGAAAAACGACAAATAGTATTATTAATCGTTTTATAATGTTACAAAGTTATTATTTAGATGACTGAAAATTTAAAATCAGAAATGAGTACTTTTTCACTGCTCTTGTTAAAGAACATAGAACCGGCGTTCCACATGGACTGGACGTATTCCCAGTCTTCGTCGACTATATCGCCTGAGTGCTTCTACTAAGGCATGTGAATACATTTTGCGACGACAACGGGTACACCCTCGTTGCCATTTGGCTTACGGTAGAATAATACTTAAGAGCCATTGGAATCGAATGGATAAGTCCCGATATTACCGAAGCTTTCCCGGCTCGACAGGAATGTTTGCCAACTCCACCCTACCTCCGCCCTCCTTTACACTGTTATAAAAAGGGACCTTCCCACTAGACCCTGCAAGTTGCCTGCATAAACCTATCCAGTTTTAATGAAAATAACACCGAACAACGCAAGTTTCACAATCCCCTTTTCTTGAACCATCTTACGACGTTGCACTGATTGGAAAGCCAGACACCGAAATATTTGCTTGTGCAAAACATTGAAAGGGAGCTGCTGCTTCTATTGCTTTGGCTGACGCTCATTATCGCCCCCTGCAATCTGCCGGGTGGCTAGCACGTTTTCATCGTAAACCGTTGGTAAACAGAATCTAATCATAACGCCGGGTTCGTCCCGCGGAGAAACAAACAAACAAGCGAGAGTCTATACTCCGTTTCCCCTTACGATGGACAGCAGGCCCACCGCGGATGCTGCGAACCATCCCAAACAAACCAGTGCTGCGAAGGAATCCCGTGACCACGGGACCCGCGCGTCACTTCGCCCCTTGCGAAGGTCACCTAACGCGTACACGGCGCACGAATGTCTTAGATGATTCGTAGCGCCATCCGTGTAGTACATCGTAAAATGGAAAATATTAGAGACAATAAAAGACAAACTTGCTTAAGGTAAAATACGTAAACTAAAAAAACAGGTTTTTGCTGTCTTTGCTATTTACGAACTTTCTTTAAAGGGATAATACGGCGAAACTTTGCCAGGAACATTCTAAATGCGCGGGTCGTCCAGATTTTCGTAACTCGTGCGAGTTGCAACAATAACAAATTCTTTAGCTAGTGCTGCGCGTCTTGGTCGTCTCGGTTCTTTGTTGGTCTATACCAAAATGTAATCGACAAAAAAAAACTGCTCGAAGCTCATTACATTTTTCTTGCGATTATATTCCTATTCCGTTACTAGAGCCTCGCACACTAACTCCCGAGTGTGTGATGCAAAAATAAAATGAGATACCCAGAAACCCGTTACAGGCACCCTGAAGTCGCTGACGCAAATTTCGAGGAATGTATTTGGAAAAGTATTTGGAGGAGACAAAATACATTCGGTTGTATTTGTATCTTGTACTTAAACGCTTTTTTGAAAATGTAATTAAATTTGTAATTAAATACATTTTTGGCGAAGTATTTGTATTTCGATACATATTTGCATGTATTTTGCCCTATCCCTGCTCTTTCTCTTTCTTTCACAATACATAAGTTAGGACTCAGTGCTCTTTCCTGTGCCCTTTTCTTGGGGGGAGAGAGAGAGAGAGAGAGAAGTGTTAGAAAGAAAGGAAGCCTGGAACTTATTAACCACACCCAGGGATGGGCAGCATTCTAAACACAAGTATTTGAAATACGTATTTCAAATACTTTGTGTATTTTGCATTCGTATTTAATTACAAATTGGGTAATGTATTTGACGTGTGTATTTAAATACTAAAACGTGGGTATTTCAAATACACAATTGTAATTAAATACAATTTTGTGGGCGAAAATACATCCCTCAAATTTATTGTCACTGTCCAGAAGAGGAAGGAAACTACGTTCTGCACCGGATGCAGTATCTCTCAATCAAGCACAAGCCTTTGGTGACTTTGTGATTACGGTGCTAGTCCAGGGCAATAAAAGAAACGAAATCGACGTTCACAGGCCGACTGGCTAAATAAGTGCCTGTGACAACTTGTGATGCTTTCCAGCCTGGTTTGCATCCATATTTTTACCTGGAACATTCTAAATGCGCGGGTCGTCCAGATTTTCGTAACTGGTGCGAGTTGCAACAATAAAATATTCTCTAGCTAGTGCTGCGCGTCTTGGTCGTCTCGGTTCTTTGTTGGTGTATACCAAAATGTAATCGACAAAAAAAGCTGCTTGAAGCTCTGCACTTTTTTCACCTATTACGTCCAAGCTGATTACAATTTTTTTGTGATTATATTTCTATTACGTTACTAGAGCATCGCACACTAACTCCCGAGTGTGCGATGCCAAATTAAAATGAGATACCCAGAAACCCGTTGTAGGTGCCCTGAAGTCGCAGACGCAAATTTTGAGGAATGTATTTGGAAAAGTATTTGGAGGAGACCAAATACATTTGGTTGTATTTTTATCTTGTACTTAAATGCTTTTTTGGAAATGTAATTAGATTTATAATTAAATACATTTTTGACGAAGTATTTTGTATTTGTATTTCGATACATATTTGGATGTATTTTGCCCATCCCTGACCACACCGTCGATTCGGGGCAAGCCAGTTCCAGGTTGGGGATGGGAAAAGAGGGGATCAAAAGAAAAGATTAGAAAGGTGAAGAGGGAAGAGAGAAGGCATCTTGGGTAAAGTCACAGTTACTTGATTAGGTTTGTCCACTACTGTATATCTATTGACAATACAAGAAGACAAGAGAATGTTCTTGCGGCATCACGAACGGAGCCGGGGGGGGGGGGAAGAATATCTTGCGTAGTATAGAGCGGGCAACTCCCGCGATCTGTAGTTTGTCGAAGATTTTTCTCTCGTCTGCGTAATTGGGACAGGCCCAAAAGAGATGGTCCACATCCTCACGAGTGTCAGAAGTAGAGCAGTTTGGGCTCATCGTTGCGTCAATTCGGTGGACGGCAGATGCAGTATAGACACAGTCTGTGCGAAGCCGGTGTAGTACGGAGGCGCTTGCACGTGGTAGCTTCGAAGGGACGCGTGGGGGTGGTCTCCCGTCAGCGAACCGTGGGTCCGGATGATTCTTGGTTATCGCTTGGTGAATTAGCAGCTTGGCTTCATGAATCTTCGGCACCACGATCATGGGAGTACCAAGCTGGTGTGCCGCAGCGGCAAGAAGGTCGGCCGTTTCGTAACCCGAAATGCCTACATGTGAGGGCAACCATTGGAATGATATTTCCCAGCCCTTCGCTTGGAGGTTTCTTGCAAGGTGTGCAATGTATCGGGCATATTGAGGGGCATCATCAAGATTACCGAGATGTTGTAGGGCTATTTTGGAGTCGGTAAGGAGCAAAGCTTTTCCGCAGTAAGGAAGTTTCTCCAGGGCGTCAAGTCCAAGTCTAAGGGCCACCAACTCAGCGGTTGTTGATGTTGCGTGGAAGCTGAGCTTTCTGGCATGAGACACATTCAGGTCAGGTATGTAAACCGCTGCGGTAGATGACTTGCTGCTATGAAGAACTCAGCCGTCGGTGTATATTCGCATCCATCCCTGGTACAGTGTCTCAATATGATCCTCTGTAGTTGTCCGGGCAACGACCTGTGCTGTGTTGCGTTTGCTTTTGAGCGTTGGAACAATCTCATTTATGTTCAGTGGAGGGGCATATGGTGGCGGTGCCGGGTAGTCGGTGTCCGGATCACCAATAAAGGTCATAAACTCCGTTGCCAGAGAACCAAGGCAAGAAAGGGGGCGTTGGCGAAGGCGATTCAAAAGGGGAGCAGTTCAGCGACAGACAGTTTGCCTCTCTATGTGCCGGAGTGTTTGTTCTCTACCGTAATTTTCCACTAGGTTTACCCTCGCTTCCACTAGTGTTGGAACGTTTGGTGAATATCTGGGTAATCCAAGGCACAGACGGACTGCCACTCTCTGAAGAATCTCAACTGCTGAACTCTGGGCATTGTCGAGGTGCACCAGTGGCAGTGCGTATAGCAACCTTGAAAGAATAAGACCTCTGTAGAGATGCATCATCATTGCCTGTACGGTCCCCCATCTGCTGCCAATGATCATGCGGATAGCGTTGAGGTGTCGGCGACATCTGATAATGGTTGTCGTGACTGCTGGTCGCCAAGAGACTCGATCATCCAGGAGGAAGCCTAGATAGGGGTATGTTCGAACCCTTGTCACGTTTGTCCCATTGATCGTGTAACTTCGGTTGATCGAAGACCCGGCCGAAGGGTGGTATTGAAGAGCAGCTATTTTAGACGCCGATAACGTAAGACCAAGCCGAGATATCACGCCAACTATAGCGTCGAGGCCTAGCTGGACTGTTCGCTGCATGTTACTGTATGAGCTAGTTGGGGCAGTAGCCCAGAGAGCAACATCGTCGGCGTAAATTGCGATGTTTATGACTGGAGAGGGTGTGTTCAAGGGCTGCAGGGCCTCCGGCAGAGCTGCCATTGCTGCATTGAACAAACATGGGCTAATGACGCTGCCCTGAGGAACACCCTGGGCTACTTGCCGTTGCGAACTGCGCATACCTTCTAAGCGAACGCACATTGTACGCCCTGTCAGGAATGCACGAACGAATGCGAGTGCTCGGCCGGTAACACCAAGCCTGATTAGCTGAGCTAGAATGGTTTCGTGTGGGATAGAGTCAAAGGCTTTTTTGATATCAAGGAATATTGCCGAGGTTGCTTGGCGAGTTGCCTTTGATTGTTCCATGTCTGAGACAAGGTCACCAATCGCGTCTGTTGTGCACCGCCGTTTCCGGAAGCCTGATAATTGATGGGGTAGAGCGCCAGATGTCTCAAGCTGCCAGTCAAGGCGTCTTAGGACCATCCGCTCCAGAACCTTGCCGAGACAGCAGGTGAGGGAGATAGGCCTGTAGGAGCTGATGTCACCGGATGGCTTCCCTGGTTTATGAATGGGAACTACTTCAGATGTGAGCCATGCGCGTGGCAGGACTGCCGAGCGCCAGATGTCATTGAGATATTCCAAAAGGCCCGGAAGGGCCGTTACATCTAAATTGCGCAAGGCCTGAAAGGTGATCCCATCTGGCCCTGGAGCGGTACGTTTGCGAGCAGAGCGGCGAAGAGCATGTTGGAGTTCCTTCAGCGTAAAGTCCACGTCGTTCGCGGCCAATGTTGTTGGTAAAGTGTTAGTAGTGGTGCTATGCGCGGTATAGCCTTGGGGTGAGACAGGGACAGAGGTGAATTCATCGGCAAGGAATTCTACTGCTTGAGCCACAGTGATGTTCTGGGCGATGACAAAACCAAGAACGGGTGACGTGGAACAGCGTGCGCGGCAAGGACACGGGCCATGCGCCAAGCTTGTTTTCCTCCACCAGGGGAGTGAAGCGACTCGCAACGCTGCCGCCATTGTCCCCTTTGTAATCGTTTGGTGTGCTTCCGGAATGCTTTGTCTATCTTTCGATATCGCTGAATGTCCTCTTGCTTTGATGTTTTAAGTGCTCGGCGCTGTGCCTGGCGTCGCGAGGCACGTAACTTGAGGTATTTTAGGTCAGGGTTTGGTCGGTATGTGGGAATGATCTCGGTTCTGGTCGCTTTGGATAACGCATTGGAGATGGCTGTCGTGTAATCCAAATTGCCTAGAGACATTATTTCGGCAAACAACACGCGGTAAGCATCCCAGTTAGTCACTTTGCAAGTCTTGTGCGTGGTGGTGGGGCCTCCTTCTAGTGAAGTGATTTTGATCGGTAGGTGGTCGCTGCCCCAGCTATCAGGTTCCGCTGACCACAAGGCTCATACTGGGGACGTAGTGAAGCTAAGGTCAAGTACACTTCCCTCCACGCCAGGTCGTACGAAGGTGGCTACTCCGTCGTTCAAGCAGTGAAGACCAAGGGCACTTGCGGCATCCTCGAGCAGTCGCCCGCGAGGTGTTGTTTTCTTATTCCCCCAGGTCTCGTTGTGGGCGTTAAAATCCCCAAGAAACAGGGTGGCTGGTGCGCATCGCGAGAGAATTGCACGCATTGAGGATGGGTCCCACTGACCGTTAGGTCTAATGTAGACTGAGATGACGGTGACGTCTGAGTTCCCTTTTTTGATTGTGACAGCGACATATTCGGCGATGTTATCGCGCAAGTCCGACAGGTCCACTTGTAATTGAGGTAGATCTCGGTGTACGTACAAGGATGCCTTTGGATGATCTGTTGGTGTGAGAGTCGTCCGAGGCGTACTATTGTAGATAACATAGGGCGACAGACGAATCGATTGTGGTTTGCAGTTTGTTTCCTGGAGGGCTAGTACTTCAATTTGGTGCCTTTGTAGATATTGCCGTAAGTCGTCTATCCGATTTCGTAGTTCATTAACATTCCACTGAAAAATCTGAGGTATTAAACAGCGTCTTACGCAGCGAGGAAGATGATTTTGCGTCGATTGCAGACCGGCCTTATTAAGGCGAGACTACTTAGACCAGGAGCTGGAAAATGGCAGGAGCATGTCAATTACTGTAAATAGTGCCTGAGCGAATGGAAAATTTAGAGACGTAAGAAAGGTACGTAGCTGTATGGCTAACGTACAAATCGCACTTCCGAAGCTTTGAGGCTTAGGTGTTGCATTAGGTATTGGTTTAGGATCAGCAGGTGGCTCACTGTGCTTTCGGGTTGGCCGGGCCAGACCTCTTGAAGGGCCTTTTTTGGCGGTAGCTGCTGAAGCACTAGAAGGCTGAGTGTTTGGTCCAGACTGTACTGGGGGAGCTGCTGAGGCGTCTGAAGCAGTTTTGCCAGTCAAGTTTTCCAAAGGAGGGAAGTTATCCTCGTTATGGAGTGGAATACGCGATTGCTCATCTTCTTTTGAGCCTTGCGATCGTTTTCGAGGTGTCCAGTGTCTTCCAGTTCCACAGGCCCCTTGGTCATTTTCGATAGCAGATTTAGCGGACGTGTAGTTAAGATTTTGGAACTTTTGTAGTTGCTGATTTGTGTTTCTACTTTGTAGATGGCACAAACTTTTGATGTCGCATTTTGGCGCTTCTTACAGTTGGTGCATTTAGGCTGCTCAGCTGCACACTCATTTACTCCGTGGTCGCCGCCACAATGACTGCAGCGCTGTGCCTTAAAACAGGTACCTGCAATGTGTCCGAAGCGATTGCACTTCAGACACTGCCTTGGCTTTTCAAGGTACGGAAGGACTTTGTAACGTGTATGCCCCGCAATGACATATTCAGGTGAGGATTTCGTTGCGAAGACCAGTTTGACAATTTCTGACTTTCCAAGTCTTCTTACGTGGATTACTGAAGCTTTTTCTCGCATGGCTGCCTAGAGATCAGCGTCTTCGATGCCTGCAGATACTCCTCGAATAATACCCACAGATGCCGATGGTGGAGGAGGTTCGTAAGTCTGAACTTGAACTGTTCCCAGGATTTTCAGTTGCAGGAGTGCTTTGGTGGATTCTACATTTCTAGCATCGATGGCCAGAAGATTCAATCGGTAGTTGGGCCGAATCTGGATGACACCGACTGGGGCCAGGCTGTCCAGCTTTTGTTTTAGTACCAGAGGGTTCATGTTGGTGATGATCGTGGTTGGGTCGTTAGGCTTAACAGTGACTGTGAGATTATAACCCGGCTGGGTTATGATTGTGTCCTCACTTGAATTTGAGCCGTGGCGTCTCTTCTTCGACGTTTGGGTTTGCCACCCAGCTTCGTCCTCGAAGTCATCCATGACGCTATCATGAGAGTCTTCAGGCTTGTTATGCGGTTTGGCAGTTCCAGATTCATCCTGGTTAGGCTGTGGTGGATTCGGGAGGCTCATATTACGTGGCCCCCGTTGGGCGGAGTCGTAGCTCCTGATTGGGTGCGGAAAGGAGACGTCTTCTTGAAAAACCAGGGAAATATTCGGTCAATAAACCAGGAAATAACCATAAAATACCGTAGTCTTGCTAAAGCGACAAATTCGATCGTCCTGGCTGAAGCGTCGTCGTCGTCGTTTTTTTTTTTTTTTTTTTTTTTGGGGGGGGGGGGGGATCGGTGGCCGAGTGTCTAGCGCACACCAACTCGGAGCACGTGGAGAGAAAGCTCGCACTGCAGAACCCAGAGACCTTGGGTTCAATCCCCACCCCTGCCCGTTTCGATCTGGATAAGCATCGTACCGGCTTGCGGTCGTGTATCACTACTCCGTGGTGCAGGCTAAAGACCCCAGGCTAGCAGTCGTACTGCACTGGTTAAATCGCTTATCTACAGTGGGTAACAATGTCGCCATGTTCTGGCAGACTAAACTCCTGCTTTATAAACAACTAACGACTAATTTGTATTTTTTGTTGCTCTTTTCTTCCTCCTCTGCTTGCGCACCGTTTTAGGTATGGCTCGTTCTGGAATTTTTTGGGCGTTCGTGTGCGCTTCGACCATCTGCAGCCGAAAATTTAGGCCTTCAATTATGCCGAGACTGAAACGAACGCGAGCGCGCACACTCTGCGAGCAGCTGCACTATTTAGATCTGAGCTGGAGCGACTTTGAAGCCTTGAAATACTTGTTTTCAAGCTGCAGGTATCGTGCAACGAACGAAATCTACTCGGAGCCATGGAGTAGCAATACGTTGCCATATCAACGGTTACCGCGTATGTTTAGGCTTAGAAACGGCCGGAGTCGGGGACGATCTTTAAAATGGGGCCAGCCCACCGCTCATTCTTTGTGATTTGAGCGAGATAAAGCAAAGCGAAAGCCGGTTGCACTATTCATTGGCATTGAAATGGGCTAATACGGCAGCGACCATGACGAATTTGCTCCGAAGCGAGCGGAAAGGGCGCCGCCATGTTTGCCGACGCAACCCGGCCCCAAGCAATTAGGGGCCCAAGCGCCAACCCAAGGCCCCAAACGGAGTTTGGGTTCTGCGCATGCGCAGTGGTGAGCCCCAATTTCTTTAGGGCCCCCAAGCTTTGGGGCCCCCTATTCTAAAACTCTCTAATATCGGACAATATTGGAAGAGCTACCCTATCCAACATCGGCCCAGTCGTTGGTGCCAATGCTATGCCCATGTTCAGCCATCGTTCCAGCCACTGTCGGCCCCATGATTGGTGTCAATGCTGGGCCATTGCTAAACAATGGCTCCAGCCAATAGTGGTCCCACATTAGGAAATACCGGCGTAAGATTGGACAATACTGGAAGCGCGACCCGATCCGATGTTGGCCGTCATTGGTGTTGATTTAGGGCCATCGTTGCACTCACCCAGCTGTTTGCAAGTGCACTCGCCAAGTTGTTTGCAAAAGGAAGGTACACGGACAGAAGAGATTGTTTTGAAATCTCCTCAAAGTTTATTACACACAGTCTATTCTGTAGACAAGTACAAACTAAGCAATTTGTTATGTGTGAAGAGGTACGACTCAGCTGTTACACAACTAAGAAGATTGCAAAGCAAACAACAACCGGGGTAATTCCTGGGTAGTTTCCAGTCTCCCCGCAGTTGGCCGAATTTTTGCCCCGAAATCCTACCGGTATGGTCGCCCCTCAT